TTATTAAATATTTAAAAAAGTAAAATTATTTTTAGTTATATTAAAATCGAACATTTGATTAACATTATTTTACTTAATGTGTAATAGTTATTACTTTCCTTCTTTTTTTGTGTTACTTACATAGAAAGAACGGTTTTGCTGAAGTAAAAAATGTAATTACACTGAAAGAAAAGAATGGCTGCTGCAAATTAGATGGTAAAATTGGCTAAATATGGCATAGCATTTTTAATTGGCTGCAACAGCCAATTTTTAGTTGCGTTAACCTCTGTGTAGGATTTCGATAACCTAACGCAATCAAAAATTGACTACTGCAACTAATTAAAATTGCTATGCCATATTCAGCCAATTTTTTCTTACAATGTAGATCTGAAATTAATTTTATTAGATTATCAAAATAATAATTATGTAGATAGCAATTATTATATTTAAGTGTCGATGATAATGCTGCAAAAAGTTTTAATATTCTATCAATCAATTTAAGCGCCCTATATAATTATTTTGATGATCCAAACAAAATTATCTTAAAATCTGTGTATTTAGCGAAATTTTTACATTAAATACTTTAAGCAAAACCATTCTTTTCATATAGCTAAATTTTTAGATGCTTCATCAAAATTGTTCTTTTCGTGTAATGTCAACAACTTCTTTTCGTGCACTTCCGTCGGGAATTCAAGTCACGAGAGACCATCTAGGATGGTGTCGCATCTCAATGAGTCGATCATTGATAATTGCGTTACTCCTTGTCCCACGTCTCCGAATGAATTAGTCTTGCTATTATTTCTCACAATCGAATGCCGAGGCCAATCGTTCGATCGGCTGAGAGAGAGAGAGAGAGAGTCCAATGACACTCCGCCGCGCCGGAAGCAAACCAGGGAGAGCACCGACGTGCTGCCACCTGCTCTATCGATCCATCCACCTACGCCTTTTACCTTCCTGCATTGCGTGCGGCACACACGGGCGTGCGTGCGGTACACGCGTCCCGATCACGCGCGTCCGCGGGCTAGGCTCTCTCGCTGGCTACGGCTCCTTTCGTCTTGCCGTTTCGATTGACTGCGATATCGTATTTGCCTGCGTCTCTCGATTCCGCAGATAAACGATAAAATGAGTATCCGCTCGTATACAGAATAGGACACGTTAAATATAGCCGGGGTGTGCAAACGCGCGATCGTCTGGACGCGTTTCGAGGCGAAGGCGGTTCTAATTATTTCCCTCTTACGCTTTCGAGATGCTTCCTTTTTTTGTTATAATGCCTTATCGTTATAATTAGATGGGAAGAACGATTTTACTGAAAGATCTAAAATTTCACAGGAGGATACAGACCTAATAATAATTTTGTTGACCCATCAGCATAATTTTGTTGGAAACTTGATTGTTGGAATATAAAATTTTTGTAAAACATTGCTTGTCAATTTTTTTTTTTTTTTAGTTAAATTACAAGCAATACTTTGAAAAATTTTTATTTATTAGCTTCCAGCATACGGTTATTATGAATGTCAAAACTTTTTGTGGGATGCTCATCATGTTTGAGTGTACAGGGTGATTATTAGGTTTGTATCTAAACTAAACGGTTACTATTTCGTAACGAGTAGATTGAACAAAATTGAAACGCCATTTTGTGCATTTACGGTAATACTCATGAGCTAGCTTATACAACTGCTCAAATGAAATTGACAAATTTCCTCTACAAAATGACGTTTTATTTGTTTCGTTCGATCCACTTGTTGCGAAGTGATAATCGTTTAGTTGAGACACGATCCTAATGGCCATCCTGTATAATTATATTTGATTTAACGAAATTATTTTCAGATTTATTATATATGCCTTAACTAAATTCTTAGATACTTCAGCAAAATCTTTTTCTTGTCGTCGCGTCAAAGCGGCGATAAACAAGAAATAGATTCGCCTCTCTTGGAATTTTTTGAACTCTCGTATCGGACCCCAAGACTTATCCAACTTAACGCGCGTACCGTCCATTCCGAGAGCTTTCTCGCGTCTTTTCCACGTTCCGCGGTATCGCGTATCACGTTGGCAATCGAAATTTCCGAGTGACACCTCGTATTTCCCGGCTATCGACATCCCGGCTTCACGCCCGACACACGCCTGAGAGACGACACGGGAAGCGATGGAGCAGTTTCGTATTTCGCCGCGCTCGTAAAAATTCGCGCTATTTTCATATTATCGAAGCCCGTGGATCTCGCTCGTTCGTCGGGCAGCATCCCGTTGAGTTTTCTCGACGCGCAAGCTGCCTGAGATCTCATCTCGTTTCGGGACGTTCCGCTTTTATACTCGCGATACTATCCTCGTAAAGATACACGTCCGAGAGATAGGTCGAATTCGAATGAAAGAGAACGAAACGGGGCAGAAGATACGAACGAGAGAACGCAGCGATCTCGTTTAACGATCGACGGATCCTACGATTCTCGGCGTCTCCGGCATAATTAAGGGAAACGACGTGCTATTACAATGATGCGACATTGTAAAAGCGACGTAGATTAATTCCTCCGGCTACTCTGGTAATTTCGAACGTGACATGTTCGGAATAAAAATTCTCGGTAAAAAACGCGCCTGATTCGTTGCTTGACAGAATTGAGGGCGAAATATAACGTGGAATATTGCGTGGATGTGGAACCGATTGCGAAATTGCGTGGGGAAAGATCTGTCCTTCACACTGATAGAGCAATTTTGTTGAAGAATCTAAAGATTTAGCTAGATACAGATCTGAAAAATAATTTGTTGTACATCAAAACAATTAAGGGCGACAATTACAATATATTAAAACATTTTGCAGCATTGAACTTACAACCAGAGAAAAGATTGCTTCGATTTAAAGAAATTTTCTTTGCTATACGGTTAAAGAAACAATTTCTTCGATTTGTGAAAAAATTTCTTTGATTTAAATATTATTTTTCAAAATCAAATGAAATTTCTTTGATTCAAAGAAATTATGTTCAAATCCAAGAAATGACGTTCAAGCCATGATTTTTTGGATTTGAACATACATTCTTTGAATCAAATAAATTTCATTTGATTTTGAAAAATAATATTTAAATCAAAGAAATTTTTTCACAAATCGAAGAAATTGTTTCTTTAACCGTATAGCAAAGAAAATTTCTTTAAATCGAAGCAACCTTTTCTCTGGATGTATCATGCTAAAATTCCTGAAAAATTATTTTGATGATCCAACAAAATTATTGGTTTGTATCCAGCCAAATTTTTAGATTCTTCAACAAAATTGCTCTTTCAATGCAATCTTTCATTTAGGATAATTTAGTTTCCCTTCACGGTAAAAAATGAATCATGAAATTATTATCGTTCAACTGCTAACGTGGTCGAGAGCATCTCGAAAGATGGTAATAAATATCTGTCTGTTGAGCAAAGTTTCCCCCGAGAATTTATTATCGGTATATAAGTTCTAATCGCGGTTTCACGATTTCTGCCCGTCACCAGGCAGAATTTCGAGTGCCGCATTTTATTTCCGAGCGGTTTTATCGCTGGCGTTTCAGGACGTTTGATATGGAAATCGACATTCCCGGTTGGACGATATCGTGAGTCCTTTGCGAGCAAGAGCCCGTAAAACGTGACCGTGCGCGCCCTGCACCTTGGAAATGTTTCTCGGCAGCACTTTAACCGCCTTTCCGCTTCTCGCTATCCGGATAATCGTTCTGAATCTTTCATCGCGGCTCGCACGCATGAGACATCATCCCATAGGCGGGAGAGATTCGAAAAGCTCTCATGCCTCGAGAAACTCATTGCAATGTATGTGTTGTGAGGATATCAAGATATTCGTCCGTTAACCTTTCTCGAGAACAGTAAATAAATCATGAGCGTATTTTTAGAGTAGCACGCATCTATAGTTTCGAAAACGTTAGATCGTGACGTATGTTTGCATAAACGTTGCGAATTGTTAAACTCCTAAAACAAGATCACGAAACGTGTGTGGCCTCGTCAACATTTCATTTAATTTTTAAGTAAATAGACAGCTAACTAAAGGTACGCAGCTGATAAGAGCTTAAAACACCTAAAAAGAATTTTAATTTTGCTCTGTTGATTCATGTGTGTCAAATTATATTCAATTTGAATTATTTCTAATTATTTCTGAAAATAGTCGCTACTTCTATATATTGTTAATTTTATATTGTTAATTTTGAATGGAACAGAGTTAATAATTATAAATGTAATCATTTAACACGTAATATGTAACAACAATAAACAAATAAACTCAATAGAATTAAACAATTTAATTGAAGAAAATGTATTAAATTTGAATTATAAGA